ATTGACTACGGCACATATCCCTTTGTCACGTCGTCAAACACTGGTCTTGGAGGTGTCATCACAGGTCTTAATCTCGGATGGCGGTCCCTGACCGAAGTCATCGGCGTGGTCAAGGCCTACACCACCCGTGTCGGATCGTAAGTTGAATACCCTGGCAAAAATTGAGCAGCGTCTGACTTGAGAAGTGGTCCCTTCCCCACCGAACAGCTCAACGAAGTTGGCGAGAAACTCCAGCAAGTCGGCCACGAAGTCGGTGTCACAACCGGCCGCAAGCGCCGCTGCGGTTGGCTCGATCTTGTCGTCGTCAAGCACTCGCACGCCTGTAACGACTACACCGCCATCAACCTGACCAAACTCGATGTCCTCGATGACTTTGCTGAAATCAAGGTAGCAACATCATACTCGTACAAGGGTCAGACACTCGATGGCTTCCCGGCCAACCCCGAGATGCTTGCCGAAGTCGAGGTACACTACGAGACGCTGCCTGGCTGGCAGAAGCCGACAACGGGCGTCACCAACTGGTATGACTTGCCCAGCCAGGCGAGGAGTTATATCGAGTACATTCAGAACTTTGTGGGTGTCAAGGTAAAATGGATCGGTGTTGGACCTGGGCGCGAACACATGATTACCAGGGCGTAGGTTGGAGTGATATTGGTGATGCGGAAAATAAAATAAAATAAAGACACTCTTGGCAAAGGAAACATGGTGACAAAAAAAGCTTCTTAGAAATAGAGCTAGACCGAAATGCAGTCATTCACCCGTTGGATGTCGAGAGAATAGTTCACATGACGATTGGAGCTAATAGCAGCAATATAGCAGCACCCATGTTGCTCTATAAAGATTGCGGCTGGGAGAGCGATAATTACTTCCGAAGCGGCGTAAGGCCTGGTTCGGTACTGGTTCGCGCTGCAAGTGACAAGCGATCATCACACTTCGACGACGTCATGTACCAGGAACACCCGGCAGATCCAATCAAGCCGCGGGAACCATCTGCAACTCTAAATGTTACATAAAACGGCGGGTGTCCTTTTCTCGACGACGCGTCCTGTTTGCGCGACTTCTTTCTCTCTTTAAGCAGAATTAGAAGTAGAAAGACAAGCAACCATGAAGACTGCGTTTTTGAGTGCAGCAGCACTCCTGCTCTCCACTGCAACCGCAGATGTAGCCCCGGCCTTTCCTCTCCCCGGCGGTCCAACCAACCTAACCATAACCTACAACAACAACGACACGGTTTCTCCTCAGGGAGAGCTCCTCCCACGTCCCGGTAACCATCTCCGCCGTCCCAAAAGTATTTAAAAAAAAATCTTCCGAAAACTAACACAAAGGAAAAGTAACCGCCCAGGCGCCCTCCCTCTCGGCCCCCCAACTCTCCTCAGTCTCAAATTCGGGCCTCTACCTCCTCTTGATGATCGACATCGACGTGCCCCGAAACAACACTCGCATCCCCTTGATCCACTGGCTCGCACCCAACATCTCCCTCTCATCCTCCTCCCTCATCATCCCCTCCCCGAATCCCGTGCCATACCTCCAACCCTCGCCCCCTGTAGGCGACATACCGCACGCCTACAACTTCATCCTCTTCGAGCAGCCAACCGGGTTCCAGGTGCCAGCGCGGTATGCGGGGCTAGCGAGTAACCGTGTGGGATTTGATGTGCGGGCTTTTGTGGGCGAGGCGCGGTTGGGCGGTGTGATTGCGTCTGGGTGGTTGAGGGTGCAGAATTTGACGGGGGTTGCGGTGCCAACGGCGTCTGGGGCGGGGGCTAGGCCGAGCCAGACGGGGTATACGGGGCCCGAAAGTAATGAGGGGGGGAAGGTGGTGTTGGGGTGGATGGGGGTTTTGGGGGTTGTTGCTGCGGGGGTTGCGGGGGTGTTGTAAAATAGATAGGATGAAGGAGTATATATAAGGAATGTGGATGTTGAAGAGTGATGGGATGTGATTAATTAATCTACTTACATTACAAGGGAAGAAAAAAAAGGGAAAGAGAAAAGAGAAATCATCTACATCGTTACCCACATTTCTATCAGCGACAAGAAAAAGGAAAAATCTACGCAGCATTCGTCTTAGCGGCAGCAGCAGCAACAGCTTTAAGCGCAGCGGGCGCATCATCCCACGGCATGACCAACTCGACAAACCTCATCTTATCCGTCTCTCCACTCGAAAACTCCTCGTCTGCAAACAACTTCTCGACCTCGTCGCGCGTCTCAACGCGATACGTCAGTACGCTGCCCTCGGCCGCACCAAACACGTTTGGAATATCCTTGTACTTCCACTCCTGAACATCATTATACGCGTCTTCCCAGCCGTGAATCAGACGCTCAATCGTATACCCCTTGTTGCAAATGACAAAGATGATGGGAGCAAGCTTGTTGCGGATCATGGTCGAGACTTCCTGAGCGGTAAGCTGGAAGGAGCCGTCACCCGTGAAGAGGATGGTGCGCTTGATGTTTGATTCGCGGGCTGCGAGGACGGCGCCCTGGCAGGAACCTGTGGCGTAGCCGATGGAGCCCCAGAGGACCTGGGATATGGCTTTTACGCCTGCGGGGAAACGCGTTTCCCAGATGCCGAAGTTGGAGGTGCCGGTTTCGGTGATGAGGATGTCGTTGGGCTTGAGCCATTGGCCGAGTTTGGGCCAGAACCAGGCGTGCTTGATTTTGTCGTCCGAGGACGAGGTTTCGGCGTGGGGTACGTCGTTGTTGGGCTTGGGGCCGGATTCGATGTTAAGTTGGCCGAGTTTGGCGGCGACCTTGGACAAGACGCCGTTCATGCGTACGTTGGGGTACTCGGAGTAGCGCACTTTGCAGCCGTAGCTATGCAGGTCGATGGTTGTGAGTTGCGACATGCGGATTGTGAAGCCGGCAGTGTTGAAGTCGGATTTGATGGCGCCAATGCTGAGGACGAGGTCGGATGACTCGACGCGTTCGCGGACACCGGCGTTGGATCCGTCTCCGGCATATACACCACCGTAGTTTGGAAGCGTCTCATCTACTGCGCCCTTACCCATTGGCGCGACAAAAGTTGGGATTCCAGACTTCTTGACCAGCTCGTGTGTCTCCTTGAGGGCACGATGGCGAATGGCACATGCATCGACCAGAATAACGGGGTTCTTTGCGGCATGAAGAGACTTGAGGACTACATCAACTACGTAGTCTTCGGCTTCCTGGTCGTTGGGCGGGTATTCCAAGTCAAGAGGTGTGTTGAGCCTGTCACCGTCGACTTTCTTCGTCACCATGTCGCTAGGCAGCGAGATGTAGACTGGTCTTGATTTGAGATAGCATTCGCGGATGGCATCGTCGATCAGCATGGCCGCCTCGTGCTGGTGGTTGAGCATGGAAACAGCACATGAGATTTCCTTTGACATGCGCGAGAAGACGGTAAAGTCGCCGTTTCCGAGCGTGTGGTGGAGGAGAGCGCCATTCTTTTGCGAGACGGTCGATGGGTAGCCAACAATGTGTACAATTGGCACATACTCGGAGTAAGCACCAGCAATGGCGTTGACGGCTGAGAGCTCTCCAACACCGAATGTCGTCACGAGAGCAGAGATGCCTTTTACTCGGGCATAGCCGTCGGCGGCGTAGCCAGCGTTCAGCTCATTGCAGTTGCCGACCCATTTCAAGCCGAGCTTTGGGATGTAGTCGAGAGCGACAAGGTTGTAGTCGCCAGGCACGCCGTGGATTGATTCGACGCCAACTTGCTGCAGGCGTCGGAAGAGGTACTAAGCAGTATCGCCGAATCAGCTACTAGCGTCAATGTCATACGACGATGTCGCACTCACCTCGGCCACATCAATGGGATTTTTGATTTCCTGGGAGCGCAGATCCTGAGCCATGATTGCCAAGATGTCAATTGGGACGAAGCTTTGGCTAGAGAAGTATTGGGTTTTGGTTGGAGATGCTTGTGGTGAGTTTGTTGTTGGGTGCGGCGCCCTTTAAAGGTTTGCAAACAGTTGTCGCTGCAGCCATGAGGTCATGTCCGCTCCTTGCCGGCCACGGTTTGTTGGGCCTATGGTACGAATGCGTTGGGTGGGTATGTGAATAGCGCACCACTGTAGTAACGCGACGTGCAGACTACGCGCTGTTTGTCAGCTCAGATGGCGTGAGCCGATGCTTTTGTGCGTTGGAGTCGCATGGCTAGATGCGTGCTGTTGCAGTCGCTTGCGACAGAATACTGGTCCGCGTAGCCACAACCGGCAAGCATTTCTGCACATCGCCTGACTGGACGAAACAAACGCCGACGTTGCGAAAAAAGCATGGCGATATTATCTCGCGACATGTCTACTTCATCACGGTACAGCTTAGCATGTGTTGAGATTACTATAAATAGTTACATCCCTAAGCTGCTCGACACCCCAGCTGCTCTATAACAACAATATGTGATTGGCTTACCACAATACTGCACATTTTTACCAACAAATCCAGACCCCAACCCTAATTGCAAACACACGAATAGTCTTTCGATTTGCACTGGAAAACATCCGCACTTCGTGTATAGCATATGTCCTTCTTGTTGGTTCCTTGGCAGCATTTTCCAGCGTGGTTATGTGGCCTATTCCTAAGCCACCAATGGCAAACATCAAGGCGGCTGCAATCGAAGCACCGGCAATGTAGATTGGCCTGCGACCATATGTGTCAATCCTAGCAAAAGCCACCATTGAACCAATCATCACGGCGACTTTAAAAAAGACCGTCCAGGAGAACAGGTCAAACGTCCCCAAGCTTCTGACGAAAATTGTTCCATATTGTGTAACAAAGGCACCACCCGTAAACTGGCTAAAAACAGGCACTGCAAGTGCAATGTGGAGTCTTCACTGTTGGTTGTAAATTGTTAACATCCGGTTATATCTCAGAGCTGCAGTGACATTTGCTTATCCCTTGAGCAGGTCAGACCACGATCCAGTGGTGACACGATCGAGCTCAATCGAAGCTACCAATTGTGCGGTTTCAGCATCGGCATCGTATCCTTTTACTGAGCCGTAGATATTCAGGAGACTCTTGGTCGCTTCATGATTGCGATTTTGACGAACGAGCCAGCGAGGGCTCTCGGGGATAAAGTAAGACAAAACCAAGCAGAGGCCGGGAAGGACCCACATGGCACCAACCGGCATCTGCTATGCGCGATTACCATGAAGTTTGGATGTCCTAAGAGTGATGAAGGAGCAATAGGCCTTGTATTTATGTACAAGGTGTTTGTTGGCGATGAGGCCAAGTGGACGAAACAAATGCACGACCAGTATGGCGAGACGGTTCGACTGGGTCCCGATCGACTGACCTGCACTACTCCACAAGGTTGGAAGGATATCTCAGGCCACAGGATTGGAGGCCGACAAGAGAACGGCAAAGACCCAAAATCAGTTCTACCTGAACATAACGGCAAGTATAGTTTAGCCACAGTTTTCGATGTCAAAGAAAACCCGAGACAGAGGAAAGTATTTACCCATGCTTTCAGCGACAAAGCACTTAGGCTACGAGAACCTCTTATCCGCCAATTTGTTGACAAGCTAATCGGAAATATCACTAAAGCAATTTCTAATGACCCAGAAGTCCGCTTCGACGCCGTCAAGCTCTATAATTACACGAATTTCGACATTATAGGCGAAATTACATTCGGAGAGCCACTTGGGCTGCTAGACACGTCGGAATATACACCCTGGATCTATGCCATCTTTTCCAATCTGAAGAGACTTGCATTCCTTCGTTTCAACTTAGAGTTTCCAGCATTTGGAGCAGTAATAAGAGCCCCGACACCACGAAAAGTCATGGAAGATGCGCGAGATCACTTTGGAGATTCCGCAACTCGAGTCGACAAGCGTCTTGCCAAGGGTACTAAGGGCGACAAACCTGACTTTTGGGAGCTTACTCTCTCGAAGAGGAAAGACTACCTAACCCAAGGTCAAATGTATGCCAATTCTTCTACATTTATGATAGCTGGGACAGAGACTACCGCAACTCTCATTAGCAGATTAACTTCCTTGCTTTTGAAACATCCTGATCAGATGGAGAAGGTAAAAGAAGAAGTGTGAGCTTTGGCTAAAGAGGATTTAAGACTTGAAGTCTTGCCTAGACTACCGTACCTGAGTGCTTGTTTCGAAGAGGCTCTGCGTGTATATCCGCCAGTGCCTACCACCTTATTCCGCGTCACACCCGCAAGCGGTGCTGATATCGATGGCAATTGGGTTGCCCCAAACGTATGTACCGAATGTCTTATCTAATACGGGTGGCTGCAAGATCAGCACAAGCAAGATTTGTGAAAACAAATTGGAAGATCATGGAGCAAACCAGATGATGCTCAAAATCTAAGAACCATTCTGACATGTACACATACAGACGCGCATTGTGATCTCAATTTATAGCGCAAATTACTCTGAGCGCAACTTCAAAAACGCAAAATAATTCGTCCCAGAACGGTGGTTGCCAAATACGGGGTACGACGATGACCGCAAGGATGCCATGCAGGTATTCTCTGTCGGCCCTCGAAACTGCATTGGAAAAAAGTACGTCATCCGTATATCCCTTTTTTTCATGTTGCATGACTATTTTGGAATGTCATGGGGGAAAGTCATTAATAAAACCGTCTTTCTGGCCTTTCCTGCCACGAAATGCGCATAACATTCGCCACCGCCCTTTGGAACTTCGACTTTAAGCTGTGCCCACAATCGGAAAACTTGATCGACCAAAAGGTGTTTACGCTATGGGAAAACCCCGAACTCTGAATGAAGCTCCGACCGGTTCAAAGAAAGACCAAAGAGGATTCAGAATGCTAATCTGGGTTGGATCTTGGCCCTCGTAGAAAGGATAAGGATGCTAGCGTGCGAAAATCAGATTGCATGAATTCGCCTTTAGGGGTGACATATGCAGGCACTGGTCCGATCAATGGCCAACAGCCTTGTTTGCTGTATGATGAATAATTGACAGCTTTCCGTACCTCGATAATGGGCAGATTTCACTCATACCTCTTATGGCTGTTTTGTGTCTAGACCGTGAATTTGGATAACAACTTACCAATACATAGTCACAATGAGTATGCTCCAAAGCAGCGGTTTTTGTACGGCTGAGACATGGCGGAATATGGGATCGTACCGAGAGTCACCAGAGTGAAGACACCGATTACACTCGACGCCAGCTGTTGAATCAGTCACCCTTCCATGGCCGACGTACCGTTTCGACAGCCCCATCGCCAGCACGCCTCAATACGCGCGCTTGCAAAAGAGTTGGGCCAGTATCAGGGCCCCCTCGTGGAGACAATCTCACGCTGCCATGCCCTTCACATGATGCGCACGCACCACACCATGACTGCAAAGGCCTCCATCACCCAGGCCTGGCGCACGTTCAGGAACCAGAGTCAGTGCCTGAGGATATCTGAAACAAAAGTTTTCCCATGATGACAACGGGGCTTGTTCAACGTGCCGAGAGTGAATGTGGTTGAAGTGGTTGTTGCTCACACTAGTCAGTCTTATACACGCCTCTATTCATATGGATCTTCCAACTGTGCCTGCGTACAAACACTTGTAATAAAAGACCCCTACTCATGATTTGTATCACTTATCTTATTGCTGAACTTTCAATGGTGCTGGCTCGTTCAAACTAAGTGCGCAATGGCAACGGAGGCTGCAAGATTTACGGACGTGTGTACTAAGGCAGCCACCCAATCCGCCGTCCCAATCACATTCACCTAACCAGGCTGTTAGAGATTAGCGACATCGGAGATGGGGGCCAAGAAAATGTCACCACTATGACTCGGGAGGAATTCCACCAGCCCTGCCTATCAGGATACTATCCCGCCCCCGGAAAAAAAAGCTGAGTGTGCGTAAAGTCCTTGGGATTTGCCAAACAAGCCTCATGCTGATGTCGCGCAGAAAATAACGACATTTACTAACCAAACAATGTACTTGTGTTAGCATTCGGACTGTAAAAGCCAGGGGCGCAAGGTAGCTACTACAGCTTCAACACAATCCAACAAAGTAAGCGTATCACGTGCGACTATTATGCGAGGCTGGTGAGAGCGAAGCTGAAGATCCTTGAGCGGAGACAAGCACGGTTGTGGGGAACAGGGACCGCGCTAAGCTAGATCGCAAGTGTGGCTGCCTTCAGCTGAACCCAATGGTGACCAGAGAATGCGTCTAGAAGTATACCCCGCTGCTAGTTACTACTGTGCTTCCGCCACTTTAATCAATCTCCGGGGCTGTTCTGTCGTTTAGTCTAGATCAGGGGTAAACATGAGTTGATTGTTATTGAGATACGAGATATTCAATCCAAAGACAGCAAGTGCATGGGGCCGAATGCATGTGTAGTCACAGACATGCCAACTCCAGCACGGACATGCATTTCTATTTGGAGGTACCTCCATGAAATTGTTCGCATTGCTCGGATTCGATACACGCGAAAGGTTTCCAAGTGAACATAAAAGGAGACTGTTTTCCCTTGTTTTTGTGGCATCAACTCGGGCAGCTTCCAAACTTAACCGCAGCATCACAAGCATTTTACAAGTACGCTTCCTAAACCAAACATCCCTTCAATTTTCAGATTTTATATCTAACCTATTGTATCAGCTTTCACTCGCCGTCACAATGCATCCCAAGTTCATTCTCAGTCTTCTCGCAACAATCACTGCCACTGCATCGGCACTTCCGACTTCCGATGCCGTAGAAGCCAAATCCCTCGAGGCTAGAGCAATTGCTAGGTGGAACGCAAGTGGTGGATGTCTCACCAACTGGAGTGGCCGATGCAATGCTGCATGCAAGGCTGAGGCGGCAGGACATAAGTGCAAGGGCAGCATTGGTTCGTCCATTGATGGGGCTGGTTGTGGCATATTCAAGAGTAACTGCAAATGCTCCTGCCAGCTCTAGGGAGTTCGTAAACGCTTAGGGAACTGGATGTACCTATTCAATACTCTGAGCTAGACTCTAACAATATCAAATCATCACAAACCTCCAACCAATGCTACCTCCATCCAATCTCTGATACTATCAACTACCCAACTAAGCTTCAAGTATAATCAAAGAGCTACTCTAGAAAGAGCAAAGCTGTATGGGGTATGAAAAACAAATTCGATTCGAGTTGACATTTCTTATAGCACAAGGAATTGGAGTGCTGTGATTTTGCTTGATGCTACAAATTAACTAGCATACTATACACGCCTTCCCAACTGCAGGCCTCTAAAATTTATTTGGCTGGTGTCGTTATATCAGATCCTATGCTTTTCGTACAAATGGTCCTTGATGTGACAGAGCTCTACTGTAGACTAACAATGCATAAGAGAGAGAGTCAACAGATGTTTCCCTATCTATATACTTATACGAAGCTAGATCTAGGATTTTAAAAACATCATATAAATCATGCTAAATGATACAACCCATCATTATCCTATATATGTAACCCTCCGGATGCACTCATTCAAACCCAAAGATACTTCGAATCAACTTCAGTATACGTCTCCTAACAATCCTCCAAGATAGTCTCGTAAGCTTTACGAGAGATTGTGAAAGTCGGCCCATTTGGCATAGCACCTGGTACGCGTGGAAATACAGAAGCATCAACTACACGAAGATTGTCAACACCGTGTACTCGGAATTTGGAGTCGACGCAAGATGTACGGTCCCCGGCTGGGCCCATGCGGCAACTGCTTGAAGCGTGGTGACTGAATGCTTCATCCATGAGGGCTTGATGCATCTCAACTTCTGGGTTCGGCGAAACAACCGTGTAAGGCAATCCAATATCGTCGTGGGCACGCAATAGAAGATTGACACCCTCAGCTAGAGCTTGCAAATCCGTGTCGGCATTCTCGGCAAAGAAGTTAAAGTTGATCTTTGGGGCTTGTCGCGGATCCTTGGACTGAAGGCGCACGGTGCCGGAAGGGTTGGCCGTCTGCATCTTTACTAATGAGCTTCCCCACATATCGGGGATTGGTTGCCTTTGAGAAAAGCCGGGGTAGAAGCCAGAATCACCCCAGCCAGCAGCGCTGAGGAAGAAGAGATCTGCGTCATCGTCCCAGCTAAGGCTGCTTCGCCAAGTCAGGAAGAAAGTCCCGCCTGACAACGAGTAAACACCAGTTCCATTTGTGCTCCATTCAACAAAGCATGGATCTGATTCGTTGAAGGTCCTGGTGCAAGAGACGTTCGCAGCCTCTTGCCATGGAACCTCAGCTCTTACGTGCACAGGGGTTTCATAATTGTCTTGCATGAAGTTGCCCTGTAGGATCGTAAGCCAAATTATCAACAACGTGATGTGCATGCGAGACTTACCACTGCCGGTAAGTCGACAATGACCGGTATTCCGTGCTCCTCTAATTCCTCGCGCGGCCCAATTCCGCTAAGTTTCAGGATCTGAGGAGTGTTGAAAGTGCCTCCTGATACAATAACCTCCTTCTTTGCGCGAACGGTCCGAACATCATTCGCTTGCTGCGATGGATTGTACCTGCGGTCCGCTGAGTACAATCCTTCTCCAACCATATACTCCACACCGGAAGCTTTTGGTTTACCATCACAGTCGTCGAAAAGAACTCTTGATGCCAGAGAATGGAGACTAATCGTCAAGGGGTATCCGGCTTCGACCACACTGTTGAGATGTTTCCCAATGCTACTCCTGCTGCCACTAGTAGGGTCGATGGCTAGCGGTAGCAAAAACGTCAGGTTGCTTGCGTAACGGTCTGCATCGATTCTGTTGATGTCACGGACAAGCAATTCGGCCAAGTGCTGAACATTTTCCGGTTCGATACCTTCAGTCTCGCGAATTATGGACGACACAAAGCGAGCCACGTTGTCTGATGTTATTCCAGTTGTGACCAATGGGTTCATCATACTGGACTAAATGTTTCGCTACGCGTCAGCGGCAATTACCAGTGTGGGCGACACGGGACTTACCACAACAGGACCATCGAATCCATGTCCAGGAGTACCGTGTGGTACATATGTACAATTCTCAAGCTCGATTAGATGCTTGCGCATGTACTCATGTCCCCAAGTCTTGTCTCCAGTGAGGTTGGCGATGTAATCCCACTCGTTATCGGGTGCCCATGCGAAGTTCATCGCATTGACTTGCGAGCTACCGCCAAGCGTAGCACCTCGAGGGTAGAGGATACCCAAACTACAATTTCACGACGCATCAGCCACACATTGAGGAAATTCATGGGAAAAAAGGGTATACATACGGAGTTGAATCTGCGGGAGGTTCGAGACCTGAGTAGTACGATCCATTGCTCCTTAGATACGCGTACTTTGGATCACGTCGGGCCTGAGTCTCGTTCGCAAAATGCTCGACGAAGAAGCTCCATGAGTGAGGAGGAGATTCAGCAGCAACTGAGTTCCTTTGACAGTTATTAGCATGGTGATGGAACCCGGAATGTAAACCTACAAGGATGGGATTTCCTCAACAAGTGCAGTTGTGTTGTCGCCCCCTGCTTCGATAAGGAATACAGAGTATCCGCTTGTCGCTAGATTAGCACTTTTTTGTTGGTTAGTACGAATGATGCAGTAAAACTTCCTGAACAAGCCTAGTGACCTACGCAAGGGATCCTCCGCCAGGCCCTGAACCGATTATCACATAATCGTACTCGACACTATCCGTGTTTACGGCAATTGCACAAGCTGCAAGAGCAGTGATAGAAGTCCACGTCAAAATCATTGTCGACGCGAAGCTAGAGATCGGAAATTTAACCCTCTAGCGGAAAGGAAAAGATAGAGGATGATAGGAAAGTGTGAATGAAGTGCTCAGAAATTGACTTGCTCTGATGACCTTCTTCCAATGCATCTCTTGACTTAAGTACTTTGATTCTTTCTTCTCCAGAGCCACCAGTCGGCAACACACAACAATCGTTCTTCGTGGCTGTACAGCCTCAAGTAGTAAGAATCATAGCCCCACGTAAGATCGGGTACTCCTTGGAGACAACAAAGTGGCATCTCGACGTCGTCAGCGTGCGGTGGTGAAAAGCTGAGTAGCAGTTCACATTCAAGCTGTATGTCATACCTATTGTGCACAGCTCCGCCTTGTTCTTCTTTGCAAGGCGCAATCCTATACATAGTCCATAAAAACACTACCAATGCAGATTATGCCACTGCCACTCTCACTTGAGATGCACAAGGCTAAGCGAGGCTTGGCAGCTTCCTGAAATGGACAGCAATGTGGGCGTTCCTTTGCTGCCAAGTTGACCCCTGCAGGGTAGAGAATCCATGCGCCTCATCTTACTTGCGCCACAGCTCATCCAACCGCGAGGCGATATCTTGCGCGTGTTGCATCGCCAAGCCATCCTAGGCATCCACATATGTATTAATTACCGGCAGGCGCATCGACCTTGGCCCTTGATTTTGAACTAAAAGAGCGCCCTGGGTCGGAACCGGATAGCAATTTGGACCACAGTACGAACACCTCGACATGACATCACAATATGTACAATTTGACTTTATTATTTCCGACCCTGTGTCGAACCCTAAGCCTGGGAAAAGCTTACAGATCAGGAGCCGATGTATGTTGGGCAGGAATAAGCACGAAGGCTCAAGGAGAACGCAGCGAGAGAAGAGAAAGATCGCGAATGAGATGATACCAAGTGTTCCGTCAAATAGAACACCCCGTCGCTCGACTCCTCTCCCTACAAAGCCTTTGATCAAGGATCTCGTGCCAATCCGCTTTGCTGGGCGCGAAATTGATCCAGAGGCCGAAATACTTCTTGCTGATGCATTCGCATTTAACTTTCTCGCCAATGACGTTACACCTCTGGAACGCTGTACCAATCTCGACTGCCTTGAATCGGCGTGTTTCTCCTGGCTTTTTACCGATACGACTTTTTTACATTCCATGCTGTGCGCGAGCTACGCCATCAAAGACTTCAAGTCTCCCCAGTCCAAGGACGGTCCGGGCGTTCAGACGACATTCCATCTCCAGGCAACCCTGTCGTTGTTACGCGTCAAAATGCAGAAGGCGTTCGCACACCAAGACGAATCCGTCCTGCGGGTCATTATAAACCTCACGCTATTGGCTATTGGGTTTGGAGATTGGGCCACAGCAGCCACACACCTTGAAGGCTTGCATGGAATCGTGCAGCTTAGGGGAGACGCGGCATTCCTCGAAGAGAGGCCAACCCTGCATTTCAAGCTCGATCGGATTGATCTTGCATGGTCTCTCGCCTCTGGCCGAAAACCTTACTTCATGCAGCCTGTAAAGTCATGGGACTGCCGCATACGATGCCCATACCCGACTCCGCCTCCAAATCTCTACCAACCATCGGCAGCCTGGGACTATCGGATTTTGAATGTCTTCAAAGATTTTCAAAACCTTACATTAATGATTAATCGTAACCGCCTCAAGTTTGTTATAAATAATCCCGAGGTCTGCCGACCCGATCTTACTTCCCTCCAAACACGTCTCATATGCCTTGCGGATGTTGTTACGCAGCCAATCGAGGAACTGGTCCGTCTGGCTATGTTAGCCATGTTGACTACCACATTCCAACTTCCAGGACGTAGGATACCGTATGCCTGGGTGGTCGAGCAGCTGAGAACAATGTGCATCACTGCGGGTAGTGAAATAAGACAAGACAAGAGTCTACTTCTCTGGGTTTTGTTCACCGCTTCCATTACAGTAGCTAGGACACACGACACCTGGATACGAGATGCATTGAAGACTGCTGTAGCTGGGCTTGAATGGAAAGACGTTCAAGCGCATGTCTCGAGAGTAATGTGGATTGGGCTTGTACATGATAAGCCAGGTCAGAAGGCATACGAACGACTTAGTCAGGCGAAGTCGAGTCCTTGGCCCACTAGCTAAGTATGTGCGTCCCGTGGCAGAGTTATGTATAGTAAGCATATATCCAACAAAAATGAAGTAGCAGCCTTGAATATTTATTGTGACCGCACACTGTTCATGTGAAAGGATGGTTGTGGACAGATGTGCTCTCATTAGTAGCTATTAACAGAGTCAGAGAGGTACAAGGGTCGTGAAGCGAACTTTGAATATCCTTAGCACCGAACTAACCGTTGTTAAAACTACCTATGTTAACTTAAGACCAACCCTGCGCGGGTACATAGTCAATTCACTATTAGCAGTGCGATGGACCGCCTAACTTGTGGGTTTACGCTCGCCGCTAGATTATCGTGCTAGAATAGTTAGACGGTTGGTTTGTCAAAGTCGTTTTTCCAAAATTTACTTGCAGCTATTGTGCCCGTAGAGTAAGCTTTAGTTGTACAAAGTACGGCTTTGTAAGTCGCGAATTTGCAAAAAGATACGTATGTAGTGTCAGCAGGAACAGGTAAGGCAACTTTGCCATCACGATGTGTGTAGCTGAGCTAACAATCACAACCGGAAATGAAACTGCCTTGCTGTCAGTTGCGCTCAGCGGGTGCGCCTTGAGGTGCGCAGTCTACAGATGCTGTGGTGGGGGGCCAAATTTCTGGGGCCAAAATCAGCTGAGTTCTGCGGCATGCTGATGGCAAATATCGATGGGTATTGAGGTGTAGTCCATCAGTTCATTATTGGGCGCGGGTGCATTGTCGCCCTTTCAGATGCGTTGAAGCCTAGGAGGACTACGGTCGGCCTGATGGTAGCCTAGTTTCTATGTCAGCTCAGTCGGCATCCAACATGGATGTTTCACCGTATGGGGCTGTGCAGTATCTACTCTTTCAACATGCGGTCTCGCTTGAACCCCTCTCTTATTGGCTAAGATACTTGCTATCTCTACATTACCTTCTAAGCCTTCTGTTAGCGTGCATATATTTTTTCGACTTTGTTTCTTTTTTTTGCCATCACCGCTTTTCTTTTTGTATTATCTGTCTTAACCTTAGCTGTGGCATAATGCACTGCGGTTACGAAGTAAGTAGATAACGAATGCTCAGCCTCAAATATCATGCATAAATGGAGGACATCCACCCAAGCCAGACCTAAGGCCCAAGTTCGTCTTACAATACAGTGACAAGATAACTTGTTGGTTACTGTTAGAAGAGATCTGAATCTTTTACCTTTACTATCAGCTCTACACATCTTCCGACTTATATAACGATCTCTTCATCCCAAGCACCAGAAATGCCTTTTAATTTCACGGAATATGATGAAGAGTGCTCCCAAATGTCAGTAGAGAGGCTGCGACTGGAATGGAACCACTACACACGCCTTATCACCGGCTCGGCGACTTCAACGACCATATCCGGACTTGCAGCACCTTTCACCGGGGGCATCAGTTTGGTCGGTGTTATGATTGGATCTACAGGTATCCACAATGCTCGAAAGAAACGTGCCATCATCGACTGCCATCTTGCTCGTTATGAGGAGCAGCACAAAACTCGTGTGCGAGACGTGGTAGGATCAATGGCCTTCAGCGGCGCTCTAGGAGTGGCAACGCTCGGTGTCGGATCGATGGGCGCTGATGTAGCGCTGACAGAAGGCATAATTCATGGAGTCTTGGATTCGACAGATGGGACGGAAGTAAAAGTTGCCACTCATATTGTTGCGGATGGAGTTGGTTTGGCTATCGAGCACAAACATCATGAGAAGTTGAAGGCGGAAGCAGAGAAGAAAGCCTAATTTTAGAGGACTGATAATTGAATGGCAAGCGCTGCTTATTTTGTATTAGAATGTTAGTGTTAGATCATCTTCGCTAAGTCCGGTTCCAAGATCTGTTCTCTGCGAAACTAAAACTAATCGCGCAAGGTCTACTTTAGACGAGACAGGGCTAAGCGTGGTACAACAGTTCGCACAATGTCCCCAAACCGTCAGCCAATTGTGCAAGCGAGTGTACATACGGGAACCTGAAGATGAATCTATACAGTCACCTATCAGAAGTTTGTTCGCGTAAGCACGGGCCCACCCCAACCACAATCGAGCTGCAGAGCTCCATCTTCTTCAACACCACGTAA